AGTCGAAAATATCACTTTTTACCAAATATGACAAAAATATTCATCAAAATTATAGAATCCAAGATATCATCACGAAATGAACAAATCTGAGAAAGGTCTACATGTAGTATTTAAATATGTAATATCAAAGCAATTGAACTATTGGTTTTTAACAAGAAGTCGAAAATATCACTTTTTACCAAAAATTACAAAAATATTCACGAAAATTAGAGAATTGAAGACATCATCACAAAATGAACAAATCTGAGAGAGGTCCACATGTAGTACCTATATATGTAATATCAAAGCAATCGGACTTGTGGTTTTTAACAAGAAGTCGAAAATATCACTTTTTACCAAAAATTACAAAAATATTCACCAAAATTAGAGAATTGAAGATATCATCACAAAATGAACAAATCTGAGAGAGGTCCACATGTAGTACCTATATATGTAGTATCAAAGCAATTGGACTTGCGGTTTTTAACAAGAAGTCAAAAATATCACTTTTTAGCAAAAATGATAAAAATATTCACCAAAATTAGAGAATTAAAGATATCAACATGAAATGAACAAACCTAAGAGAGGTCTACCCAAGGTACATATACACCAAGTATCAAAGCATTCAGGCTTGTAGTTTTCAAGAAGAAGTCGAAAAAGTAAAACATTGACACGGACGACGACGACGGACGACGACGGACAATCACTCATATGATAAGCTCCGCTCGACAAAGTCGACAGCGGAGCTAACAAGCTAACAATTGTAGTACAATCATATTATTTATATCATGATAATATCAACGATATAAACGACCATCAACATAACATTATTCTTCTGCTGACTCACGCGTGCAAATTGAAGTTGAGGTGAATATCAGAAATATCAGGGGATTTTTTTTAAATAATCACACTTACAGTGTATGTTTTGTTGGTCCATTCCAGGAGGATGTTGAGCCACCGGGTAAATTATAAAAAGATCCTGGTCTTGGACCGTTTTGCCAGAGAGGATCGTACAAAACACAGTTGTCCGCCATGATGAAGTCTGCAAATCCATCAAACCTCGCGAGAATATGCGAGACTATGCTCAAACGGGGTCAACGGGTCGTTAAATTATTATACGCAAAAATGATATAATTTTTGCTATTGCATGTTACCACAAGTTTATTCAAGTGATAGAGTGACATTTGTAAATAATAATAAAGCCCAAAACGCAAAATGTTGAGTTGTGATTTATTAACCAATAACCAAATGCTTTACAGTACCGCTGAATACTTTAGCTAGAGCCAATCACATCATTCGTTTTAAAACACCATCGTTGCGAAAGCGAGGTCGATTCTCCCTGGTTACGAACATCCATAACAGTTTGGAAGCCATATTTCGAACCTTGTGTCGCCTCTAAACTAGAGTACTAGTCAATTTACTGATTGTTTGGGCCCTTGTCGGCATTTTAAAGACCATGGTAAGTTATTTCAGTGTTATGTGTGCTATTCATATCAAGATATTCAGAAAAAGTGTCTGTGATCGTCGGCAAAACAGCATGATTCGGCCATTGGGCAGTCTTGCCGTGACTTTCCCGCGAATCGGCGTTGATTGTAGATGTCATTGATCACTAACGCAAAATATACCTCAATCTGAACAAATTTATTCTGTTTTCACTTCGACACTTTAATATGCTTTGATGCAATCTTTATATTATTACAAATGTCACGTTTGTATGTCCCGTACCCGCACGGATCGGCGAGTTTAGACACGCTATTTTACTTGGCCTATATATATATATACCAAATATATGTACCATGACAATCCGTTACTCTATGCGCCCACCTTATGTTTCTGTAGCGAAATGGTCAAATCAACATTGAAAATCGCCATTATTGAATGCTGCATTTATATTGATACCGTATGCTGACATCCCATAATACCATTTTTGGATTTGTTCATTTAAAGTTTGAGCACTTTTTTTTTTATTTAAGCGCTTGTGGTAAGACATAAAAACCAGGTTCATACCCAACGTGTCCAACCATTGTATATACTAGTATTAGAAAATGCTCAAATCAAAATGGACATGTAGGATAACAAAAAATTGACCTAGGCTATTTAGAGCCCTATTTTAGATTTCTAGACATCTCGACCCAAAAATTTCTCGACCCAAGACACTTCGACCCAAATTGGACATCTCGACCCAGACACCCTGGGCATCTCAACCCACCGCATCGACCTGACCCTATCTAAGTGTGGCGACGCGAACCTCTATCTAGTTCAACGTTGATAATGTTGCTCTTAAAATTCTCGCGATATTGCGTATCGTGCTGTATATGAAT